ACATCCCTGGGGAGGTCCAGCCTGAGACACTTAGGCTGAGAGAAACAGGTGGTGAAATATCACTGGTGACAGGAGGATTCCAGGGTGAAAGACCTATCCATCTGGAAAAGAACAATCAGACTCGGAAGTACCTCTTTCTGTCTCTCCACTTAAGTACAATTCACCTTTAGCCTTTATGTTCCTTAAAGAGCTCCAGCTCTTCTAAGCCTGCGGGATTTGGATACGTGGAAACTCATCCATTGCCCCATTCACCCCCACGTTTCCGTTTTCCTGCAAAGGAAGTGCACAAAGCCAAGTAACTGGGAGGTCCTCCCACAGAGATCAGTGCTCTCCAAGCCATAGTGGGGGTGGAGGAACTGGGAAGGGGTCCAGAAAGGCTCCTGGAGGGTGGTGTTTTAAATGCTGATTCTCAGGCTCTATCCTTACATTTCTGATTCAGTAGATAGTCTATTACCCAGATCTGATCATTACATGTTATCTATATGCATTGAAATGTTACATTGTACCCCATAAGTATGCATAATTACTATAAGTCAATTGAAATATATATTTTTAAAAAGATTCTGGTTCAGGGTCTGAATATAGGCCCAGAAGTTTGCCTTTTAACAAGTATTCCCAAAGATTCTGATATAAAAGATCCAGGCCTACATATGAGATACAGATGCTTCTGGGATTACTACAGGTATGGGGTTATATCCCCATAAACCCATTGCATTAGCTGAAAACACTGTAAGTTGGAGATGCTTTTACTACACCTAACCTACCAAACATCAATGTACTTAATACACCTAAACTGCCGAACACTATAGCACCATAGCTTAGCAACACAGTAAAATTTAGTTGTTTACCTTCATGATCTGTGGCTGATTGGGAGCTAGGACTCACTGCTGCTGATTGGCATCAGGAAAGAGTACCACATATGGCTAGCCCAGCAACTGACCCAAAGTCAAAAATCGAAGTACAGTTTCTAATGGATGCATATCACTTCTGCTCCAAAGTTGAAAAATCTTAAATTCAATAAGCATTGAAAGTTGAGAGCACACTGTGATTGGTCTGAGGACAGCAGTACTGCCTTTGTAAATAAATCACTTCTTCTTTACGCATCCTGTCATTTTCTGAATGATGCTGTCAACTTTTGTCTATTCACTCTGCATTTCTGAGAACCTGCTGGGTGTGGCCACCCATCGCATCTGAGGCTTTCCTATTGTGCTGTGCTGTGCTGGGGGAACTGGATAGGAACCTAGGAAGGGCGTGACCATTTTAGAAAGCTATTTCTTAACTTCCTAGAAAAAGCGACAAATGACCATCATTTCAAGATTTGTGAAACCGATTAACCAAAATAGCTGTATTACCTAACCAGAGTCACCATCATTTACTGCCAGGAAGCACCAGACTACCAGAGGCACCGAGGCGTTGAGAGTGAGAAGGTTTGAGTCTGCGAACCACCAGGTTCAAATCCTTTCTCCACTACAGTCTAAGACCGTGGAAAACTAATTGGGCTTTCCCCTGCGTTCCTTTCATCTGTAAAATGAACATATAACACCTATCCCATTGAGCTCTTAAATACCTAATGAATGCAGACCGCTCTAAAACAAAATCTAATTTTCACATATCCATTATAAATTGTTAGGTGAAGCCCACAAAATAATTGAGTACACTAAAAAGTGATTCCAGAGGTTTATTTGGAATCCTTAAAAAAAAAAAAAAACACCTGGAATTCAACTTTATGTTTAATTTAAGCAGTTCGAACGAATGGTTATAATTAGAGTGATCTGAGGCTTGCTAGTTTTTGAAGATTTTCCCAACATTTAGCTTCTTTGGGAGTCAACGCCACCCTCTGCTCCACGCTGTCCCGTTTCAACTCCCAGCTTGGGGAGGACAAGAAGGCGGTCACTCCTAGGCGGGTGCCCCGCGGGAGAAGGGCCAGGGGCGCCAGGGATCTGGGTCGGAAGTCCAGCCCGGAGGAGAGGGGCCAGAGGGACTCGGGTCCCGCAGCCCGCAAGCCGCTGCCCCCCGAGGCCGCGCAGCTGGAGGATGCGGCCGGCAGCCGAGAGCGTGCGCGGCCACGTGACGGCCGATATAAGAGCGCTCGGGGCGGA